ACGTAAACAATTATATGATTTACCATTGTGGTATTTACACTTACTTTTGACGTTAACAGTTGTGTGATTCACCATTGTTGTATTTGCACCTACTTTTGACGTTAACAATTGTGTGATTCACCATTGTGGTATTTGCACCTACTTTTGACGTTAACAGTTATATTATTCACCATTGTGGTATTAATACTTACTTTTGACGTTAACAATTATATGGTCCACCATTGTGGTATTTACACTTACTTTTGACGTGAACAATTATATTGTCCACCATTGTGGTATACACTTTCTTTTGACGTTAACAATTATATGGTCCACCATTGTGGTATTTACACTTACTTTTGACGTTAACAATTATATGGTCCACCATTGTTGTATATAACTTACTTTCGACGTTAACAATTATATGATCTTACTTTTGACGTTAACAACTTGAGGTCAGCCACTGCCATAGTATGGACCAAGTTACCGTTGATTATCAGCCGAATTTCTATCGTGTCTTGTGTAAACGCCATGACATAAGGAAAGGCACAAACTGAAACAAACACAGATATTTCAGTAAGCAGCAGTACAGAATCACATAACAGTTACGTCATTTATATCTAACAGACAGAACAAAGTGCCAGTACAATGTAACAATATATATGATAAATATACCATCATTCAACAAGTTGGTCGAACAGATGTTAGCGCATTGTTCACGAATTTTCTTTTGAAAAGGATATAAGAACACTCACATACTGTCCATTAAGTATATCACTTTCTCAATCAATATCTATTTTTCGTGTAATTATTACCAAATCATATCCCGAGATTTGCTGTCAAAGACACTAGTTATTATGGTGTCGATACAATGTACCAAACTTGCTGTCTCTAATATTACAGTTTTTATATACGCTTGTATAGTGTTGGTATTAGTTCAACAAAACATAGCCAGAGGATTTCTCTTCTCTTCTGGGATTGGTACCTACCGATAGCTTGCGGTTCGCTGTTCCAATGAAAGTCAAAATCATGCGAGGTTTCCTCACTCAACTTTTGAAAATGGCTAACATCTGTGAAAAAAGAACGACATATACAGCAGTAAGTTCTTGGATTCCTGATTCACGACAAAATATAATATCAGAGGGCACAGGGACCTCTGCTGGACTCCCTTCTACTGACGGAGATCAGAGGGCACAGGGACCTCTGCTGGACTCCCTTCTACTGACGGAGATCAGAGGGCATAGGGACCTCTGCTGGACTCCCTTCTACTGACGGAGATCAGAGGGCACAGGGACCTCTGCTGGACTCCCTTCTACTGACGGAGATCAGAGGGCATAGGGACCTTTGCTGGACTGCCTTCTACTGACGAAGTGTTTATCAGAAGGTACACACGTCAATATTGCAGCAAAACTTAACATCGACATGTTATAGCAAAAGGTTCACACGTCAATATTGGATTTAAAACTAACATTGACATCTTATATTAGCGGGTACACACGTCAATGTTGTATTCAAGACTAACAACGTAACAGCGACATGCCATATCAGAAGGTACACACGTCAATATTGGAGCAAGACTAACATGGGCATCTTATATTAGCGGGTACACACGTCAATATTGGATGTAAGACTAACATTGACATCTTATATCAGCGGGTACAAACGTCAATGTTGGATTCAAGAATAACAACGTAACAGCGACATGCCATATCAGAAGGTTCACACGTCAATATTGGAGCAAGACTAACATGGGCATCTTATATTAGCGGGTACACACGTCAATATTGGATTCAAGACTAACAACGTAACAGCGACATGTTATATCAGAAGGTACACACGTCAATATTGGATTCAAGACTAACATGGACATCTTATATCAGAGGGTACACACGTCAATATCGGATTCAAGACTAACATTGACATCTTATATCAGCGGGTACACATGTCAATATTGGATTCAAGACTAACATGGACCTCTTATATTAGAGGGTACACACGTCAATGTTGGATTCAAGACTAGCATGGACCTCTTATATTAGAGGGTACACACCTCAATATTGGATTCAAGACTAACATGGACCTCTTATATCAGCGGGTACATACGTCAATATTGGATTCAAGACTAACATTGACATCTTATATTAGAGGGTACACACGTCAATATTGGATTCAAGACTAACAACGTAACAGCGACAAGTTATATCAGAAGGAACACACGTGATTGGAATCGAGACTAACAACGACATGTTATATCAGAAGGTACCCACGTCAATATTGGATTCAAGACTAACATTGACATCTTATATCAGCGGGTACATACGTCAATGTTGGAGCAACACAAACAGCGACATTTTATCTCAGAAGGTACACTCGTCAATATTGGAGCAAGACTAACATGGACATCTTATATCAGCGGGTACACACGTCAATGTTGGATTCAAGACTATAACATTGACATCTTACATCAGAGGGTACACACGTCAAAATTGGATTCAAGACTATAACATGGACCTCTTATATCAGCGGGTACACACGTCAATATTGGAATCGAGACTAACAATGACATGTTATATCAGAATGTAAACACGCCAATATTGGATTCAGGACTATCAACGTAACAAAGAAATGTTATAACAAAAAAGTACACACGACATAATATGATTCCTGACTTACAACGACATGTTATAATAGAAGGTACACACGCCACTATTTGATTCCTGACTAACCAGGATATGTTATATCAGAAGGTACACACGCCACTATTAGATTCCTGACTTACAACGACATGTTATAATATAAGGTACACACGCCACTATTTGATTTCTGACTAACCCGGATATGTTATATCAGAAGGTACACACGCCACTCTTTGATTCCTGACTAACCAGGATATGTTATATCAGAAGGTACACACGCCACTATTAGATTCCTGACTTACAACGACATGTTATAATATAAGGTACACACGCCACTATTTGATTCCTGACTAACCAGGATATGTTCTTTCAGAAGGTACACACGCCACTATTTGATTCCTGACTAACCAGGATATGTTATATCAGAAGGTACACATGCCACTCTAAGATTTCTGACTAACAACGACATGTTATATCAGAAGGTACGCGCCACTCTCATATTCCTGACTAACGATGTCGTGTGTTATTAAAAAGACATAAACATCACCATCGACCACTTTACAACGATCACCAAGGAACACCTGACACACCCTAAACCAAAACAAAACTACTTTCAATAATAGGTTATATCAGAAAATTATCATATAACTATGAAACTGCAGGCTTATGATGATATATTAAACACAGAAATATACACCAATAATTATGGGATTAGTCTTATGTCAGTTTATTAGAAGTTAAAATGCACACAAATAATTATTGGATTAAAGGCTTTGTGATGGTATATTAGACGTTGCAATGTTATTATGGTGTATCCGTCTTAGTATTCTATATCTAACTGTACAACAACCACTATAGAGTACCAGAATTACGATGGCGTGATAATTAGAAGGTATATACGCCACTATGGGTTTCCAGACATGAACTGGTATGCATTTGATGTACAAACGTCATCATCATGAAATGTTATGTGTGACTTACGATTGTAGCACAGTAGCAGTTCTGCTTCTTCATCTTCATAGATATCCAGAGCAGACACCAGTTTCACCTAAATGACACGGGTTAAATGACAGAAACTAATGAGTCACTTCCTTGTCATAAGTACCTTGATGTGATTATTGTTACTACGAAAATTCGCTAGTGTTCGAGTACAAGCAGTTAGCAATGGCATTCATTTCAATTTCCGGTTTTGAAGTAAATTATCACACATCATAATAAGATATATATACCATAAAACAACAGAGCTACATCTATATGTACCACAAAACAACAGAGCTACAGATATATGTACCATAAAACAACTGCGCTACATATATGTGTACCATAAAACAACAGAGCTACATATATATGTACCATAAAACAACAGATCTACAGATATATGTACCATAAAACAACTGAGCTACATATATATGTACCATAAAACAATAGATAAAACAACAGAGCTACATATATATATGTACCATAAAACAACAGCGCTACATATATATGTACCATAAAACACCAGAGCTACTTATATATGTACCATAAAACAACAGAGCTCCTTATATATGTACCATAAAACAACAGAGCTACACATATATGTACCATAAAACAACAGAGCTACATATATATGTACCATAAAGCAAAATAACTACATATATATGTGACATAAAAAAACAGAGCTACATATATATGTACCATAAAACAACAGAGCTACTTATATATGTACCATAAAACAACAGATCTACAGATATATGTACCATAAAACAATAGAGCTACAGATATATGTACCATAAAACAACAGAGCTACAGATATATGTACCATAAAACAACAGAGCTACATATATATGTACCATAAAACAACA